GCTTTCATTGGCTTTGCAGTTTGGGTATGCGAGCTTATGCTGCGTTGTCGTTTCTTGTTGATACTTGCGAGTGTTTGACCAATTTAGTCACATCTCACTTTGTAATTCAATTTCTTTGACGATTTTTAGTGCTTGTGGTCACTGAATCAACTGGTTGTAGCACGTAAAGGTGAATGAACCTGCGCTGTAAGCATGAAATTGAGGTAGAAGCTTATTATCAGTATTTTACGAAACACTTTGACGCGGACACAAACTTTATGCAGCACTAAGAAGGTAAAATATACTTTGAAGTTTGGGCCACATGAACTTACTTTGCGATACAGTTTCATTTTGCTATTCAATGAAGTTTAAATAGCAACTTAGAAGCTAAAATGTTATATCACTACAGAATGTTTTGATTTACCTGAGTTGGTAAGAAATATGCTAATTAGATTTAAGCTCATTTGCATTCATGTAAATGACCCTTTTACACGGGCATATTCTCTCTGTATCACTACGATTGTATGAATATGAACACGTCATCGGTGAGTTAATGCTGCACTTTTTGTTGTCGCTTTTTTTGCGAATCTATGCTAAAGTTAACCTCAACATTTTTAACCACAAGTTATGATGTGACGTTTTACATTTTAATCTCTGCTCACCATTGTAAGAGATTAACAACGTAACACTTTAGTTAAGACGCAAATATTAATTTTAAATTTGCTTTACATGTAAACAAAGAAACTCATACATAATAAACTACTACTTCTACCAATAATAATAATAATAATAATAATAATAATAATAATAATAATAAACAATAGTAATACATCTCAAGTCCGGTCTTGCCCTCGTCAGTGACATAAAGTGAAAATAACTATTAATAATTATTAAAAAATGCATTTAATATTTTATAAATCTATAATTATGTATTCTCACGTTGAGGTGTCGAGGTTACAAATATTGTTTATATTTTGGCATGAATATGTTCAATTTTTTGACACTTTTTTTACGCTTCATCTGCCACTTCACTGAATTCAGAACCACTGATTTGGACAGCGACACTTACGTGTTTAATTTACAGTTCTATTTATACAGATATAGTAACAGAATGAAAGAAAATAAGGAAGAAAGAAAGAGAATTAATAAGTAACAATAAATATGGTTTAATTTTCTTTCCAATCGCTCCATTTAATAAGCAACTTAATAAGATGAAATTGCATCAATAACAATAATAGTAATTATTCCATTCACTGAATAAAGTTTGAGTAAAATATATACCTGCACATTTCAGCTGTCGTGTCAAACCGCGTTTGGACACAAGATGTCGCTGTTGACCGTGAGTTTGAAGGTCTTTCCATATTATTATTCATACTCCGCCCTGTGCATAAGAGCCTAAGCTAGAGCTCCAGAAGCTCCCGAAATCGCTGAGTCTTGGACCTTTTTTCTTCTATATATGGACGTTTGATAGCAAAGCAAGCCATTTCTTCTTTAAAAGTCCTGTAGACGCGAGGAAGCGATGAGTTCTCTGGATATTGGTGCCTCAGCCTGGATAAAGGCGCTGCTGCTGCTTTGTTTGTGGGATTTTTCTCGAGGCCAGATTTCGTACTCGGTTTCAGAGGAAGCGAAGAAGGGCACCGTTGTTGGAAACATAGCGAAGGATCTTCATGTCAGTGTGCAGGAGCTGGAGTCGCGCATGTTTCAGTTCGTGTCTGGACCTAATGCGAAGTATTTCGAGGTGAATCCAAAGACTGGGATGTTGCTCGTTAGTGAAAGAATAGACAGAGAGCAGCTGTGCGAAAGCAAACTGAAATGCGTAATGAACGTTGAAGTGATGCTGCACAATCCACATAAGCTGTACCGGGTTGAAGTGAATATACTGGATATTAATGATAATTCTCCTGTGTTTCCACGTCAGTCGATGGTTTTGGATGTTACTGAAAATGTGCTCGTGGGAGATCGGTTTCCGGTGAGCACTGCGCGTGACATGGATGTCGGTAGCAATGCTGTGAAAACCTATAGAATTAACACGAATGAATATTTCACGCTGGACGTGCAGAACGGTGGGTCGCCTGAGCTCGTGCTTCAGAAATCTCTCGACCGAGAGCGCGAGTCGGTGATTAAGCTCGAACTGACTGCAGTAGACGGTGGGAATCCACCTAGATCCGGGACATTGCAGATTGCTATAAACGTGCTGGATGTTAATGACAATAACCCTATTTTTACCCAGTCACTGTACAAAGTTAAAGTGAAGGAAAATGCAGCTCTGGGAAGCAAAATTCTTACTGTTTCTGCTGTAGATTCAGATGAGGGTGTGAACAGTGAGGTGTTGTATTCTATTATTAGCGATGAGGAAAATTCTGGTTTAGATATTTTTTCCATAAACCTCAATTCTGGAGATATAACAGTCACTGGAAATATCGATTATGAGGAAAACCCAGCAATTGAGCTGAGAATACAAGCTCAGGATAAAGGAACACCTCCCAGAAGGTCTAGATGCAAAGTTTTGATTGAAGTTCAGGATGTAAATGATAATGCACCTGAAATTTCAGTCACTCTGCTCATGAACTCGCTAAGGGAAGACATCAAACCTGGCGCTGATGTAGCATTAATCACTGTATCAGATAAAGATGATGGTAAAAACGGAAAAGTAGACTGTAAAATAGCAGGAGCGAGTCCATTTAAGCTACAGCCGTCCTATAAAAACTCATATTCTCTTGTGGTAAATGAACCGCTGGACAGAGAGCAGGCCTCCCAGTATAACATCACAGTCATCGCCAGTGATGAAGGCTCTCCTTCTCTTTCTAGCACTGGAAATATAGTCGTTCATGTTTCTGACGTGAATGACAATCCACCTCTATTTCCAGCACCCGTCATAAACCTCAGCGTCAAAGAAAACAGCCCAGTTGGCGGCCTGCTGGCATCACTAACAGCAAAAGACGCAGATATCGGTGAAAACGCTCATATTTCATATTCCTTAATTGATGGAGACGGTAGTAAAATCCCTGTGTCCACTTTAATGAACATAAACTCCCTCACAGGTGAACTGTACAGCTTACAGTCCTTCAACTACGAGGAAACCAAACAGATCCAGTTTAAAGTTCAGGCCACTGACACTGGTGTCCCTCCACTCAGCAGCAATGTGACTGTGAACGTCTTCATCCTGGATGAGAATGACAACAGTCCAGTTATCTTACCTCCTTACTCTGAAGCTGGGTCAGTAAACACTGAGAACATCCCCTACTCTGCTGAAGCGGGATACTTTGTGGCTAAAATCCGAGCTGTAGATGCTGATTCTGGTTATAATGCGCTGCTGTCTTATCACATCACTGAACCTAAGGGGACTAATCTGTTCCGCATTGGAAGCAGCACTGGAGAAATCAGGACTAAGAGACGAATGAGTGACCACGACCTGAAAACTCACCCACTTGTTGTGACAGTATGTGACCATGGAGAACCTTCACTATCAGCTACAGTGACTGTTGAGGTTGTGGTGGTTGAAAGTCTGGACAGCGTGCAGCCTTCCCTAAGACAAGTGCCGATGAAGGAGGAGGGCTTTTCTGATCTGAATCTGTATCTGCTCATCGCTATTGTCTCAGTGTCGGTGATCTTTCTGCTGAGCCTCATCGGTTTAATAGCAGCTAAATGCTACGGGTCAGAGGGCGGTTTGAGCGGGTGCGGCGCTCCAGTGGTCACTACACACCCTGACGGGAGCTGGTCTTACTCTAAAGCCACTCAGCAGTACGACGTGTGCTTTAGCTCTGACACGATGAAGAGTGACGTAGTGGTTTTCCCCTCGCCGTTTCCGCCTACAGACGCAGAGCTGATCAGCATTAATGGAGGGGACACTTTCACTCGGACACAGACTCTCCCCAGCACTGGGAAGGTAAGG